AATTGCTTTAAAGGTAAACTTTGCTGATTTGAGCCACAGAGGGGGAAAGCAGAGGGGATGATGTGATAAAAGACAGAAAAAAAACAAACATCTGTTAAAATAAAGATGTAGATTAAACACTAGATTTTCCTTTTAACCAAACTGCTAATACAGTATGTGAAGATGTGTTTAGCAGATGCACATAGCTTTAGGCTGACAGGATGTTTACCAGGAACTGAATGACCCCAGTTCATAACAGAATAATAATAATCATTTTTACATATATACTAAATATCACTGATTAATATGCTCCTTGACTTATTTAATATTTTGTTAATATTAATTTATTTTAACTAAGCATTTTGTGGTAAATATTCATATTGTCTTTCGTACAAAGTTTAAGTTGTTCTTAAGTGTTTAAGAGGAAACCACAAGTTTTGTTGAATGTAAACTTTTAACTAACTTAATGTTTAATCTTAGCATAGAGTGAAAAACAAGGCAAGTTGCAACATGTTTTTTTTATTTTCTTCTTCTTTTGGCTGCTCCCTTCTTCAGAGGTCGCCTCATGGAACCAACTCACATGATAACTTGGCAATTGTTTTTAACTCCAGAGGTTCTTCCTGACGCAACAACAGACCACTGAGCTACCGCAGCCCTCTGTGTGGAGCAGAGAGCTGCTATCAAGGGCACCCGGGGAGAAAGATGATGGGAGTTAAGGGCCTTGCTCAAGGGCCCAGAGTGGGGCAAACAAGGGTGGAGGCAGTTGTCCCACCCACATTTTGATGTTGTCGGTCTGGGGGGGGATCAGTCCGGCAACATCCAATCTCAGGTTCGCCTTCACCAACCTCTGCGTCACCACGTTTAAAACTTTAAAAAAGGGAAATCAATACTGAGCTAAAGTCACAATGTAAAAATTGGTAAGAAGGGATGAATAAAAGGCTCATTTATAGATTTTATTTTAAAAATTAAATGTATTTGTGAGGGCAGCATGGTGGCGCAACTGGTAGAGCTGCTGCCTCTCAGCGAGCAGGTCCTTGGTTCAAACCCCGGTCCAGGGGCCTATCTGGGTGGAGTTTGCATGTTCTCTCCGTGCATGCGTGGGTTTTCTCCGGTTTCCTCCCACAGACCAAAAACATGCATGTTAGGCTGATTGGTAACTCTAAATTGTCCCTAGGTGTGAATGAGAGAGTGAATGGTTGTTTTTCTCTATGTGTCCCTGTGATGGACTTGCGACCCGTCCAGGGTGTACCCCGCCCCTCGCACAGTGATTGCTGGACATGGACACCAGCGACCCCCGTGACCCAAAATGGAATAAACGGGTAAAGATAATGGATAGATGGATGTATTTGTGAGGGCGGCATGGTGGCACAGGTGGTAGAGCTGCTGCCTCTCAGCAAAGAGATCACTGGTTCAAATTCTGGCGCAAGATCTTTCTGGATGGAGTTTGCATGTTCTCTCCATTCATGTGTGGGTTTTCTCCGGGTACTCCGGTTTCCTCCCACAGACCAAAAACATCCATGTTAGGTTGATTGGTAACTCTAAACTGTCCCTACGTGTGAGTGAGAGGGTGAATGATTGTTTGTCTCTATGTGTCCCTGTGATGGACTGGAGACCTGTCCAGGGTGTCCCCCATCTCTCGCACAGTGATGACTAGACATGGGCCACCGTGACCTGGAAAGAAAGAAGCGGGTAAAAGATAATGGATGAATGGATGTATTCATGAGTCAGAAATAAACATTGGTGGGGAGTGGTGGCGCAGAGGTTAGAGAGGTGTGCCTGTGATCCGAAGATCGCCGGTTCACGCCCCGACAACATCAAAATTGTGGGTGGGGTCGGTGAAACACCCACACCTGCCCCCACCCTCATTTGCCCCACCCTGGGCCCATGAGCAAGGCCCTTAACCCCCACCATGTGCTCCCTAAACAGGTCTCTCTTGAAAATGAGTTCTCGTAGCTCAATGAGACTACCTGGATAAATAAAGGCTAAATGAAAAAAAACAAAACAACTAGCATTATTTTGTTAGCCTAAAGGATACATATTAGCAGAGGACAGCAACATCTAGCACACAATATTTATGTAAAAATGTCAAACTAAAGTTTAAAACAGAAATTTATTTGGTGTATTTTTATACAATGCCCAAATTCCCTAAGGGTATCAAAATCCCTTGTTATTACTTGGAAAATACCACAAGCAATAAAGTTGTGTTTTCACCACAACAAAACCTGCTAAGTGACTTTCTGTTGGCTTTGTTTCAATATTACTGCCATTATGTGGTTTTAATGTGCCATCAGGGCAGGATTATGAGAGATGTGGGCCCCTGGGTTGGAAGTAATGCCTGGTCTTCCATCAAACTTGCATGTGTTGGTCAGTGGTCAAACATGGAGTTATATTTTCTTAATCATTTTTTTAATTATTTTTTTAAACTATGGTTATTATTAATATTATTTTTATTATTTTTAATAAATTTTACTAAAAGGAATACATTATTTTATTATATGATCAACATGGGATGAGAAAATCCATTTACTTTGTAGAATAGATTTCAATATGGTCCATGTATCCTCTAATGAACACAAGAGGTCAGGGAAATGACTTGTTTTTGGGAACATTTGAAAACATTCTGATAAAGTTTAAAAAAGTTAAGACCTTTAGAGGTTTAAAGAATGAGTAATTTAGAAATGAGTGTGTGTTCTGAAATTATAACAACATCATAAAAACAGGCGTTATTGAGATGCTAAGGGTACTGAATGGTATACCTCAGATCAGCTCATTGAAAAGCATTAAAAGGGCAAAGTTCTGTTGGATTTAAAGTTACTCATTACAAGTAATGAAGACAGATAAAAAAAATGAATGTATACCGAATATATTCAGTGTTGTCATATTCTAAAAATATATTGAACAAAGTGTAACATTATAAATATCCAAAACTAGTCTGCCTATTTTTTTGTGGGTTTGAAACAGCTGTAAATTTTCAACATACATAAAGGAGTGTTGCTACACCGTATTTATGCAACTCAATAATATAAAAATAGTTTTAGAGTACAAACATACACAACATATATGAGATTTGTTTTTATTTATAATTTCATTAATCTATTTGGAAGGGCTGTGGTAGCTTGGTGGTCAGTGTCGCAGTCTTAGAATACTGAGGTTGTGGGTTTGAGCCCGCAGGTTGCGTCAGGAATGGCATCAGGCGTAAAACAATCACCAGACTCTTTCATGGAAGTTTGCTCACTGCGGTGACCGCAGAAGAAGGGAACAGCTGAAAGATACTACTGTAAAGTAGTCCCTCGCTACTTCGCGGTTTGTTTATCGTAAGATTGGACATGACACAATTGGCTGATTGATGGATGAGCCATGGGTTGCTTATTTAAAATAAATTATTTTGAATGATTTTGCACCATGCGTGAAGCCCACAAGCGGAAGGGAAATCTCCCTCCTGCAGCTGATCAGCTGATTTCCTTCTCTACCACGCACCCATTTCTGCTGCTGCAGCTTTGTGAAGGGTTAACCCTTTGCTGTCGAGATGCACCGATCGACTTTTGTCTTCCAACTTAAAATTCAAAGTATGTCATGTCGTAAAAATCATCACAATAACAAAATATAAAAGTGTTAAAAGTTATTTGTAATTATTTTAGAACTTCGATGTTCAGTTGTTGAAGTGTAATTGACCAAGAAGTACAGTTCTGCTCCGTGCTGCAGAGCTGAAGCTGTGTGACATCCCTTTGATGTCCTGCTGCACTTCTCTTCTCATCCATCCATCCATCCATTATCTTTACCCGCTTACTCCATTTTGGGTCATGGGGGTCGCTGGTGCCCATGTCCAGCAATCACTGTGCGAGGGGCGGGGTACATCCTGGACGGGTCGCAAGTCCATCACAGGGACACATGGAGACAAACAAGACAAACAACCATTCACTCTTTCACTCACACCTAGGGACAATTCAGAGTTACCAATCAGCCTAACATGCAGGTTTATGGTCTGTGGGAGGAAACCGGAGCACCCGGCGCCACCGTGCTGCCCACTTCTCTTCTCTACAATTTAAATTTAAATACTGTAATATTTTAAATAAACAATCCATGAATGGATTGTTTATTTAAAATATTACAGTATTTAATTAAAAAATGTTTATTTAAGGAGGGAGATTGGGAGTGACAAGTGATGAGTGAGTGTGATTACAGCCTGGCACATGTCATGACAAAGTTTACTGAACTTGAACTGAACTTGAACTACTGTATCCCTATGCATGCTCAATAATCAGGGTGAAATCTAAAAAAGTTAAGTCAGGTCTGGACGTTCAAAAAACAAACAAAAAATTATAGAAACATTTTGTCATTGACAAAACGGTTTTACAATGTTTTTGGAACATCCAGAGGACCTGACTTAACTTTTATAGACACTGTATCCCTATGTCGCGGTTTTCACTTATCGAGGGTGGAGGTGTGTCCATACACTCGCGATAAACGAGGGACTACTGTATTCTTTTTGGACGTGCATGTCCTCTGGCCTCCATCAGGGGGTGCTGTAGCACCCTTCGCACCCTCATTTCCCACCGCCTTGTCAGAGTGACCTTTTACTAATGTTTGATTTCACACCAGCTCTGTTGTCTTTTACATAAAACTACTTAAGCAGCAGAGTTATATGCTACTTGTAAACAAACACTTTTTAAATTGTGACTTCACTCGTTTATACTGTAGCACTACTAAACAAACATTTCTTAACCTTTTGATTTGAACTTTTTATTTAATTTATGTTGATTCAGATTAATTGTGTTGTGTGTCCACAAAGAGGTCAGATAAGTTAAACGAACGAGCGTCATCACCAGACGCGTGCGTGAATATACAAATAACGCCGAGCAAATCCTGCTTTGCATGCCAGTACAGAAAAAAAAAAAAAGGTTTTACTTTTGTTTGCATGTGGCGAAAAAAGGGCTGGAGGAGGGGGTGTTGTGCCTTGTTCCCTCCCACTGGCCCCGAGACACACACAAAAAAAAAAACCTAACCAGCCCCTTTTCCATTCCCATGGATCGTGTTACTGGAGTCTCCAGCTCGGAGACATCTGCTGTTCTGAGTGCGTCCCCCTGCGACCGAGCCGGGCTCCCGTGGTGCCCCCCGTCTCTCCCCCCCTGCAGAACCCTGCTCTCCCTCGTTGTTTGCATGAGGAGCCACGGTGCATGTAGTCCAAGCAGCAGGCGCGTCCCTTCGTGCGTCCTGCTCCATCCCTCCCCTCCCGAGCGGCGGCGGAGCAGCGCCCGGTGCCACATTTCTTTTTGTTCGGGCTGCTTCGCATCCTCGCGCCTCCTGGGGACGTTAGAGGAGGACAACGAAGGGCGGATGAACACAACAAATGTGTGAACGAGCTTGAACCGAGGGGGGGGGTGTCTTCGGTCTGAATTTTTATTTGATCTTTCCACTCTTTTTGCTTGTTGGTTTGTTTTGGACACCATGGAGTCTGTGGAGAAGGAGTGTGGAGCTCTGGGTGGATTATTCCAGGCCATCGTTAACGACATGAAGGTAACGCAGATGTAGATTAAATTAGACTAAGAGTTTTCCCCCTAATCTGACCGTTGTGGTTGCACGGTGGCTGTGCAGACGCATATTTTTACTGCCTTTGTTTCATCGGGTCCTCCCCCCACATCCCACATGAAACACTGCTGCAGGACAAACTGAGAGGTGAAACATGTTTCCCTTTGTGTTATTTGCATACTGTACAGCAGGTCCGTGGGACAGTGGTTGACTTGAGCCAGTGTGGCAACCTGTTTACTGTACAATAACTGCCTGCATGGACACAGCAGCAGAATATAATCCTGATAATACAAAGATAATCCATTTGTTTCAGGGCTCAAAGTAAAGCATCTTGATAAAACAAAGGTTGGGAAGGTGGCGTTATGGGAACACAAAAGTGATGATGTGCCATTTGACCCCCGCTCAATTGTTCACTCACTATCAGTGAAGGACGCTCTGAGAAGGAAATAACCGTTTCATCACCTTCCCGTCCTGAAACGAAACACTTATGGAAGGTTATTGATTGTGCTTCTCGATGTCAGTGGCGGTAAACCTCTACTTTTGCAATGCATTGCTCAGGACACATCCAAACCTTCTGTCTGGAACAAAATCTGTGTCACACAAGTTCTCTGCCTCTTGGAATAGTTAAGACTAATCCCTTATGCAAAAATAGGTTGACTCTCGCCATGCAGATTGGTGTTTGTGTGTTGGGGGAGGGGACTAGTGAAGGAAGTTGTACCAGGGTGGTCTGTTGTTATTCCAAGACAGCAGATGGAAAGTGTGAACATATATCCATCAGGCCTGCAGGCAGCTCCAAGCCTTGTCATTGTCCAGGATGCTCCTGATGCTCACAACGAGTTCACAACATCAAACAGGTCAAGCATCGATTGGAAGCTCACAGGGTCCTTTTTGCCTTCTAAGAAACTATTTATGGACCCCCTTCTTTGTCAGGCTAAAATGAAATCACCAGCTATTGACAGCACTGATTTAATTTATCTGCTTCGCTTTTCTCATGCAAGGCCCAGAGAGACAGTGGCTTACATCTAAAGCAGTGCAGACGGATAAGGCCAAAGCCCTTAGTCAGCACAGTATTGATGTCCACTGTCTGAGAAAGATGTCTGACCTCATTCCTGCCAGTTGGCTGGACATTAAAAGCTTGTTAGCGCACACAGGCAGCACAGCAGCTCAGTCTTCCTGATTGTGAACAATAGTAGAGCTTAGTGTTTATTTACACAATGCACGGTTCACTTTGGGCTCTTAGCTTTGCTTTTAACTAGAAGCTGCACCTGTTGGTTATATAACTGTCTGATGATGAAGCTACAGGAAACGAGGAGAAAAAAAAAAGAGGAGGAGGTGAAAGAACAGTGGGCAGAGTGAGAATGACTCAACTGGATTAGATCAGATTTGAGTGGCATATTTACATCTACTAACTCCCTGTTGATGCAGCCCTTGAACATCATTGTCAATGTCAATCAGCCCTGAGGATAAGAATAATATTGGAAATAAGTTATGTTCTAGGACTGCGCCGTTCCTGGTGGCTGCATGTTGGAGTAACACTTTCATTTTGAGCTATTGCTTTTGGAAACTTTAATTCCTCTTTTTTCTGGATGTAAATCGCTTTTGTCGGATGAGTACGTCCTCTGGTATCGGATGCTGTGCAGCTGGAAGGATTTTTATTGAAACTTTTTTTTTTACTTTTGGGCATTTGTTATGATGCATAACCATGGCAACAAGGTGTGTTTTAACAACCAGGAGCAGCTGATTAACATCTCAAAAGCTCAACTACTTCAACTACAGCCCCAAATGAGTTAAAAAGGAGGTGTTGTGGATGAATTCCCGTCAACCTGACGGCGGTGCACGAGTACCTGACCGCTGAGATTCATGGAGCTGGTGGGAAACTAGGCTTGTGACAACGGGAGGACTGGGATAACACCCCGGCACCTTCAGCTGTCTGTCCATGGTGACGAAGAGTTTTTGGGCAGTCCTGCTGCTCAGGAGGACCGAGAGGCCCGCCGTATCTGACAGCAGGCTGGATCCAGGTGGACGGATCAGTATATGTGGCCATTCTTCAGATTATTCAGGATATTCTTCCTGCCCACAGCTATCAGCATCTGTAACAACTCTTGAATGAAACCAGGATGATGAGCTACAACAACACTGAATTTCCACTTGGGATTAATAAAGTATTTTTGAATTGAACTGGATAATGTTTTCAACCTCACTATCTAGTAAAGGATCAGCCACTGGGAGGATGGGAGGAGGAGCCATTTTCCCCCTGTCTTCTGACTTTCCCTTCACCCTTACCTCCCTGGACTTTGCTGGGTGTAGATAAGGATCCAAATGTGTGTACCCACCTGTGTGCCGTGCATGTCTCTGCCCGCTTTTTCACCCTCTGCCCTCAGCTGTCTTGGCAGAGCATCCCTCCCTGCCTCTGGGAGTCGCAGAGCTCCCAAGCTAATTAGGCACCTGTTGAAATCAAGTGTGAACAACAAGACGGGGAGACTTAAGCCTGAGTTCTTTCACTTAGAGAATGGCTCCTAAATCACTGTCTAAGGCAAAAGCTTTATCCAAGAAGCTGGGAGTTAACCTCTGTCATTACCAGAATGGGGGTTTTACTAGACGTGATGATGAGCAAGACTTTCTCCAGATTGCATGCTGGCTATATATAGTCAAGATGTGTAACTCAGTTTTTGGCTTGTCTCCATCAAAGAGGCACACAGAGGTTATGCCTCTCTTTTACTTCAGGGCTCCAACTTTTGCTTTAATGGGATCTAGCCTTCAGCGTGTTTTATGTTTGGCTTCTGCACTCATAGCTCAAGGCAGAGAATGATTATCCGTCAGTAAATCTAATCCAGATTTTTCAAAGACAAGCCTGTGCTACCTGCATACGAGGATAGAAGATAGTGCTTTACTGATTGATAACCAAATAACATAAGCACTAAGACATCCAGCTGATATTTTTAAAGACAAGTTAGCACATCTAACTTGGTTAGAAGCCACACCACTTCTTTTTAATTAGTCCATGACCTCTTTGGCTGAAGTTGATGCCCACATTTCATCAAGTTGCTCCAGACCCTACTCGTGAATGGAATATTATGTCTTCTCAAACCTGTATGTCTTTAACAGAGTGTTCCTACATGTCCTTGGTTAGAAGTTTGTTTGATGCAATGCTTTTACTTGTCCTTATCAGAGCTCATACCCTGTGTGGGAAGATTTCAGTGCCAAGGCCACGAAGCTGCACTCGCAACTCAGGTGAGAAGCAGTTTATGCAAACTGTAAACCTCTGGGTCAACGTTTCTTATGTAATGTTTACAGACTCTTTATGCAGTCAGAGGGCAGTGAACATGTGCCGATCTGTTTGCAGGACCACGATTCTGGCAGCTGTGGCCTTTTTAGATGCCTTTCAGAAGGTGGCGGACATGGCTACCAACTCTCGAGGTAAGGCTTCATCACTGTGGAGTTAGAGGGAAAAAAATTCTGTTTTCACCAAGCTGTTATCATCAAGTATTACACATGAAAATGTGTGTATGAAACATATTTTCACTTAGATGTGATAGTAACCCTGTGCCTATGCTCTACCTCGTTCTGTAGAACAAAAGCTTATAAAGATAAGCAAATTGGCGTGGGTCAGTATGAGATTCTGACTTTATAACATTGAGCAAAAATACCACGGTTTAAATATTAAATATTAAAACAAAATGTCTTGATGCATGCTCAATAATACAGGTAGATAAATCTGACAAGGTTAAGTCAAGTCCTCTGAACGGATTCTTTTTTGTTAAAACGTTTCATATTTTATCCAAAATACTCCTAGTCTGAGAAGCTGCAACAAACAGTCTTATAAAAATCACCTTCTCATAGTGGATCAACCAGTTTGTTGGTGATGATCAGAACTAGCTGTTCACTTGTAAAAAGGAGGACCATCAGCCTAACAGTTGCTCGTTAGTGCCCTGATGGCTGCTTGTTATTCACAGAGGGCTGAGTGATACTTGCAATAACAGCATGAGGGTGACAATTGGACATGGAGGCCCCCATCCCTGTTTAATGATGGATGGGTTCTCTTCTCAAAGATGGCTTCCTTCACTCCTTTCAAACCAACCTATGTGGATGTGCACATCTTCATCAATGAAAGAGGGTTAGGGGATGAAACTGGTTGATCCACCATGAGAAGGTGCCCTTTATAATAAGACTATTAAGAGTCTGTTCAGAGAACCTGACTTAAACTTGTTATATTAAAACAAACAAATTATATATATATATATATATATATATATATATATATATATATATATATAATGATTTTTTTGGCATTCATTTAAAAACAGAAATGCAATTAATATTCTGTTCGCTGCCTAAATAAACTCACGTATTGTGTATTACTTTGTTTTATAAGTATAACCGTAAAATAGCTTATATAATATTTTTTTTATAATAATTTTTTATTTTAATGTGCACATATAAACAAAGAGACCTGAGAGAGCACAAGGACTGATTTGAACCAGTTGGTGTTTTCTGCTTTTTTTTTATTAACCACATATTAAGTACCATAAAGCTATTAAGGTCAAGGCTGAACTTTTACTTTAATAACAAGTTTTGAGAAAAAAAATTCTAACGGAAATTTGGAATGGTGCTAAAACACTAGTGTCAACAGGCTTTTTAAATTTATATTTTAAATTCAAAAATAATATTGCTCATGTTGCTTCTCTTAAAAAAAGGCACCAGCTCCCTCACGACCCCGCGTTGATAAGTGGGTAAAGAAAATGGATGGATCATGTTTTGCTTGTTGTATAGCAACACTGAAAGCCTGAAAAACTGATGCTAGTTAATTAACTAACCCAGTTATTAGCCTCAGTAGTAAGCCTGCAGTAGGTTGGATTTATTTTGTCAGCTAACATGCTAATAACTCTTGTAGCTTGTTACATACTTTTATCCCATTTCAGCCTGATCTTAAAAGACAGCATGAATGAGCACAAGGTCAAACACCAAAAAACACACCGGCAGACAAGCCATGGCTTTTGCATCTGCATTTTTTCATGTACAAGCATAAAACTTTGGACAAATCTCCCTCTCAGCTTGTACATAACTGAATCAAGGCTCAAATCTACAGATGGAAAAAGGGAGATCTGTCTGTTATCTTGCTTTTAGGCATTTAGTTATTACTGTATTTTTCGCCGAACAAGTCACTTCGGTGTATAAGTTGCATTGGTCCAAAAATTTCTAATAAAGTGGAAAAAAACATAAACAAGTCACTTTGCCGTATAAGTCGCATCTATTACGCGTCACTGCTGATGCGTCACATTTGTTATGCGTCACCTCTGACAACCTGGAAACATGGGCCGGTGTTGTACCAAAAATCGATCGGCTGCCAAAATGACGGCCATGGGAGGACTTTAATAATAATAATAATAATGTCATCACAATGTCAGCACTGTATGTTTCCATACAATGGCAAAATTAGTCTCTGCATTTAACCCATCCACCACCAGGTGGTGCAGTGGGCAGCTATTGAAAGCGCCCGGGAGGCTTTTGGGGATGAGGTGTGCTGCCCAAAGACACCACGTGATGTGCAGTGACTGGGGATCGAACCTGGGACTTTTGAGTCCCAAGCCGGCTGCCCTGCCTCTACAAGATTAACACTTAAAAACAATTATTTGTTTGCTCGACATTATAGCAAAGGTGTGTCTCAGTTGAACTTTTCTTTAATAAATGCACTTTAATGGTCAAATCAGCTGCATTTCACCTGGGTGGCGCAGCAAAATGCAGCTGATTTGACGTTTGCTCAAGGAGTTTCGGTAGCTCTGTATGGCAAGCCAAGAGTCTTATTAATAGCTACATTTACCTATTAATGTGACACTTGGCTTGTCATAAGGCTCAAAGGCCCTCTCGTGCCTCTAGCTGCTGCAAATGGTAATGTTTAATATGTCACGTCAGAATGAATGAAATCATCAGATCTCAGCCAAAAATTAGGTTATAAATAAAAGGATAAAAAAAAGGATATTAATCACTTCGGTGTCACAGGACTTGCAAATTTATGCAAAAAAAAAATGCAACTTATATGCCGGAAAATACGGTAGTCCATGCCCAGTCTTTGCCACGCTACTTTTATTGATGTAAAATGTTGAAGACAAGCAACTCATATTCAGTTTTCTAGCTGATTTCAACCAGAACTGTATATCACAGCACAAATTGAACAAGTAAATCAATATTTATAGCATTCTCCCCACATCATTCATACAGTAGACATTCATTGCACTCTAATGGCCATTTTTTTCACACCATGATGAAAAGTAAGCACAGCTAAAAAGGGAATAGGCAGCTCGTTGTTTTCAGTCTTAATGGGGTCTGCTGATCTGCTCTGTCACCCTGCTAGCAGCGGCTGAAACCCTGGCTAGAGGGACGCCCGATTAACACAGATTTCCTTGGAGTTGATTGTCGAGAGTGTAGGTCAAAAAATCCTGCTAACCCGTGCAGCTGCACAAAGTCTCCTCTCACGCATTAAAATGCAATCACATCACACAGGCGCAGGAACAAATATGTGCATACGCACACACATATATATTCAGAGGGTGACAGCTGGTAGCTGGCCACCTGACCCCACAGGTCACATACCAGTGGGCTTTTAAAGAGTTTGTACCAGCACTCCATCTTTACATCTCACTGCTGGTGAACAGAAATATAGGAGCACATCTGCACCACCATTCACTTCTTTTATTCTCATGCCCTCTCCATGTATTTTGATTTGTTTATTTTAATTTTAATGCAATTTTGAAGAAGGTAGGCTCGTGTCAACCAGCGGGCTGCACACACCTGGCAGCACGCTTCTGTAAAACGGGTATAAACCGTGGCAGGCAGAGGCTTCAAAAGGAAATCTGCAGTAAAATCAGTTAAGAGAACAGAATGATAGATGGCTCACAGAGAGATCAGAGAGATGAGTGAGCTGACTTTTGCAGCTGCAGATGCATTACACGCCTGTAAGTGTGTCACTCATACACCCACTCACTTTTCGGCTTCTCTCCGAGCGACATTAACTGAAAGATTAATGTCATCCTTCTCAGGCCACAGACTGTACGAGGGACGAGAGACTTTCAGAGCAATTAAAGAGGAACTAATGAAACATGGCTCAGACTTTGGCAGTACAGTCCATGGATTGAAATTGAAGACTTGTTTTGTTTTTAATCATAATAAATTGCCTAACTTCTGAATGTGATATTATCCCAGCATTTAATCAGCATTGCTTTAAGGATGGGGACATAAATGGATGCACCATGACGATTCAAAGTCAGTATTTGATTTTAAGTTTTAAACAAATGCAGAAACCATCCATAAAATTAGACTGTGTCCTTACTGGAGTGGTTGTTATAAAGATATTTAACCTTTTTCTGCACACAGATGATGATTTAGGTCACAGAGAATAAGCATTTTGAAAACTTGACGCAAAGATAAAGATTTATAGACCTTTCTATTTTCCACGTCTTCATTTGTTTTCCATGAGGACGTGTGTAATATTCCTCTTTTATTCATTTTATACAGATGCACTACTGATTTTCAACAAACAGTCCTCACATTAATAAAAAAAGTAAGGCTTTGGCTCAACAGTGTGACCTTGTCAAAATTAGATATGCACATATTATAAATTTAGGATGAATCACATCAAATACTGCTGTAAAACAGAGATCCACTGTTAAATTGTGTTGGGGAATTGTATGGGAAAGGCAATTATCTAAAGACAAAATAAATATTGATGTTCAGTTTGTAACTGTGCAAACATCAGATGCAGGTTTTAAAATCTGATCAAACCGTCCAGAGAAATTGTAAATATGCAAAACGTTGTGCGTACCGAGCTGAAAAAGTACTAAAAGTGCAGCACAACAATTTATAATCCATATGGAAATTATTGTGGCACAATGTGTGTGTGCTTCAGTTTACTTTGCATATAAAAATCAATTGTAAATATGCCATGCTTCAGGAAGATAAATTAATGTTATTTTATTAAAGGTCAACCAAAATGATTTTTTTTTTAAATTTTTTTTATGACCGATGTCAATACCAATCTTTAGAAATCAGGGTCTACAGTAAGGATATGTGGGATAACAGGGAAAACAAATGTGCAAAACTAAGTTTAAAAAATGTTGGCCGATATGCATTCTCATTAAAAATAAAATTTGCCATTGCATAATTTTCTTAGTATTTGTGTATTTCACATGGCTTTGCAATGCCATCCAAAAAACTAATGAATAATTCCAACAATCTTGAGGGATTTTGCTCCTGTTTCAGTCAATGCAGGACCCTTTCTGTCACATGGCCCAAACCCTGTCAACACCATGAGGCAATATGTTCTTTCTTGTCAAATCTTAGTTCAGGTTTTTACAAACACATCTACTACTCTCCATTTATTCAGTCTTAACATGACAAAATGAACTACAAATTTGAATCCGGGT